TCAGAATGGCCTGAGACTTGGGCATAGCCTGCTGCACCTCCTGGCATGAAAGGTGTATGCCACCACGACTAGTCACAGTCTCCCTATAATCTTTTAAATGTATGTGTGTATGTGTTTGTGTGCACAAGATTAAGGGTAAGAGAGACTTTATGCATTTTCCTCTATTACTTGACTTTATAAGATAGGGTATCTCACTGAACATAATACTCACTAATGGTAGAGTGCCTGGCTAGTAAGAGCCAGAAATCTGCTTGTCTCCACCATCCTCTCTTGCCCCCATAAGTGTTGTGGTTGCAGACGAACTCTGCCAAACCCAGCTTCTTACACGGGGATCCAAACTTCGGCCCTCATGCTTGCATGGTAAGCACTTACTGATGGAGCTGTCTCTCCAGTCCCCCAGTAGTTTATCTGAATCTAGTACTGATTCCCTTATTTATTCATTCACTCACTCATCCATCCATCCATTCATCCATCCATTGAGGCTTTTTTGAGACAGAGTCTCACTATGTATCTCTGGCTGTCCTGGAACTCACTATGTAAACCAGGTTGGCCTTCAACTCACAGAGATCTACCTACTTCTGCCTGTTCATTGCTGGGATTAAAGGCATGTACTACCATGCCCAGCTTGGTTCCTTTTTTTTTTTTTTTAATGTCATTTATTTGATGAAGAAGCAGAAAAACAAGCACTATAGATTTTCACATTTTGGATCTGGCTGATTGCTTCCTCTGGCCTTTGCACTCTAGCGTCTGAATTTCCTTAATTGGATTTGGGTTCAAGGTTCTGTGCTAAGGTCAAAATCCTTTCCAAGTGCCCTACACTTCCTACTGCACACATGTGCACTCAGTGACCTGTTTGGCCATCAATGGTGACAGAAGACCAATCTGTCCAAAATATTTGGCACAACGTGCACTGCTGTCTGCATTAACTCTGTCATGTACTGAAATATAAGACACAGAGGAATGAAATCATGAAAGAAGATAGGATGGAGTATAATAAAGTTCTAACGGCAAGATCTATGTAGGACGTAGGTACAGGTGTTCACTAGGAAATTCTCTCAATCACTAGTCCTCATTAATATGTTCAATTAATACATGCTACACACACACAAACGAAAAAGCCAAGTATGGTGGTACACAAATGTAATCCCAGCACTGGGGAGGCAGAGGCAGGAGGATCTCTGTGAGTTCTAGGCCAGCCTTATCTATATAGCAAGTTCCAGGTCAGCCAGGGATACATAGTAAAACACTCTCAAAACCAAAAACCCAAAATAAATAGAATAATTACTAAAAATTACTTCAAACTTGAAATTTTTATTGGGGGGGGGCGTCAATTTCACTGGGAACACAGAGTGCTCCATCCGCAGCTCTTTAACCATCTGCAGGCAACAGTGATCAGTCCCTAAACCCATGAATTCATTAAAGATTTGAGAAGTAGTTTTCTAGGTCCTTCTGAATGGTTTGGCTGTAGCTGTCCCAGACGGCAAGCACTCTACCAACTAATCTACGTCAGTAGCCTGTGATTCTCCTATGGAAAATCTCCATTGCTTATCTGGTTAAGATGGGATCTAATCACTACAGGAAAGGCAAGACAAATGTTTTCCTAATTCTCTTTGATTATCAATTTACAAAATAGCGACCAGATGCCCTGACAATCTCTAATGAATCCTGAGAGGTTTAAAAACTCATTTTCTACCTTTGATGTGTCTGCTGTAGCCATCATTCCTCTGAATGCTGCAGTTGTACTGTGTGTTGCAACAAGAGTCCCTTCAAGGTGGCTCCTGACTGCTACTGCCATGACCCCATTAAATTCAGAGGGCTCCCTGTGCCTGGACACATCAAGCTGCCTGGAAGCAGATAATGCACAGTCTCCACCCCAGACCTCAGTCAACCTTCATTCCAGAGAGCACTGAGTATTCCGAGTAGAATTGGCTTTTATAGACTCCACTCTGAAACTAGGGCACTTAATTGCTGCTCACTGTCATTGTCCCTGGTACTGACAGGGGACCACAGTAGGAAATATCCATTGTTTTTAGAGAAAACCATTAATCATTCATTCGCACTAATATCTCCAACTGAAATTCAAGAGTATATGGATTTTATGCTTATTCTTTGGTTTTTATACATTTTCCTTATACTAAAAAACCTTCATTCCTGATAAATATTAACCAAGTGACGTATAATTTATTTGTGTGTGTGTGTGTGTGTGCGCGCGCGCGCGCGCATGCATGTGAATGTGCTCCTGTGTTTCAAAATAATACGCCAATATCATCATTAGCAGTGAGATTACAAAGCATACTTTGGTACTTCCTGTGGTTCCTCTGTTCTAGCTAGTGCATTTTGAATAACCTGTGCGAAGGGTGACTCAATAGGTCAGTGCATCTTTTGTGCCCGCCTAATCCCGCGGTTCCTTAATTAGGAGTGAGGGAGGTAAGTGCAGAGGCACAAGCTCTGTCAGTTTTTAACCACTTCCCCTCCACCCAGCGCCCTGACACCGAAACAAGTCTGGATGAGAAAGTTGTCAGGAACCATACAAAACACATCACCCTGCCGAGCAACATGAGGTCAGTGAACTGAAGGAGTGAGGGGCTTGGACAGCAACCAGGAACATAATTCCCATTAAACAGGCAAGCTAAGTCAGCACTGACAGGCAGCAGCTAGTGTTCTCAGCGGGAGCTCTTAGTGACATGCTGCTTAGCAACACGAACTGCAGATGACAATGACAACCATACAAAGACACGGAGGATCAGATTTAAGTGTGACAATCATGCCATCTTCCAAATGACTCCTCACCAGCCAGGCACAACTAACTCTAGTTAAGTGTAAAATGGGGTCCCTGCATTGCCTATGTCTTATTACTTTTACCTCCTATTTTTTAAGAAGGCAGTAAAAATTATGTCTCAGTCAATACACTTCAGGGACTGACCCGCAGAGCCACTCTACTCTGAAAACGTTGTCTTTAGAATATCTTACAACTACACAGGATGGTATGGAGGTAAACTGTGAATTGGAGGATACATGAAATTTAAAGTGGTCTTATTTACACAGTTTTGTATGCATATTTTTTGCAGCCTATTTTAATAAGGGTTCAACTTCCCCTCTAGCCCACTACCCACCAGAGGTAGTGGAAAAGAAAGTTATTAGGACGGGGGGAAATGAACCTGCTTAGAAATCCAATCTTCATTGTTCTGTCTGGTCCACTCAGCAGACACCACGCACAAAGCAGCAGCTGCAGTCCAGTGCA